GCATCAGCCATCGGTCACAGGAAGGCTGAGTCTCTCCTCAGTGTCACCTCCTAGCAGGGCCCTGCTTCCCCTCATCCCAGTGGCTGCTGGGAGGGATGCTTGTGCCTGAGCATGTCCCTGGACAGTCTGTCTTCCCTGGCAGAGGCCAAGGAGCCAGAGGAAGTTCAGAGTCTACTTTTCAAAGTAGAGTTAACTTCAGGACGAGATCTGTGTTGAGTAGACAGCCTGGGCACATCTCTGGAGAGGAGTCCTGCTGCTCTGAGGCTGTCCGTACCCGCCTGGCCCTCCAGCACTGCTCCCAGAGACCATCCGTAACGTCCCAGCGCCGATGAGCTGTGTTGTCCCTTCGCATGTAGGACTGTGCTTTGGTCTTAGGAGTTAGCAAGAACTCGAGATCCGCAAGCAACTTGGCACTTCCAAGTAAATTTCCCACGTGTTTGGCAGCTGTTGGAGAGCATCAGTGAGTCTGGAGCTCTGGTCTGTGCTGACCAGGATCACTGCTCTTGCCAGCATCATGGTGCCGTTGCCTGCTCCCAGGAAGGTCCTTGGGGACTCCCGGTGCTGCCAGAAGCACTCCAGCTGCTGCAGACCAGACCTGTTCACTCCCCACAAACCTTTGGGGCTGTGTCTTTGCTGGGACAGTGGGAAAGGCCACTGCCAGGAGGCAGTCCAGCGCCAGCAGCATGACACAGCCCTGCACCCGAAAACCCTCCATCCCCGATGCCCAGCAGAGGTTCCAGCGCAGCCGCGGGTGCCCTGCACAGGGAACCGCCTGCGCGTGCTGACACCATATCTCAGAGACAAATAGATGAGGTTGGTCACCGAGGAGAGCTGGTGCTTTCTGTTACGTTGGTACGTTTCCTCCTGCTCTCCCACCCGCTGCCCGCCGCGCCACTCCAAAGGCAGATGCATAAAAGTCAGGCAGTTTGAGTGGCTTTCCGCTGCCCTTGTACCTGCTTTGCATTCTCCTGTCATCTCCCAGGCTGTCAATCTCGTACCGTCGCGGGCTCTCAATTCCCAGGGAAGCTAAACATATATATTGCACAAAGAGATCCGTGGGCTGGCACTAAAAGTGGAATACGCCTCCCTCCGCGTGCTGCAGACAGCCTAGCAATATACTGGGTGTGAGTTATGATACTGTAATTCAAGCTTTGTCAAACAGTGGGGCTTAATTAGAATGTATATATAATTGTAAAAACTAAAAAGCTGACGAGTACAATTGTGCATTTGAGCTGCTTGCCACAGAAGATAATGAGGAGAGAATACATTAAGGCACAAAACCCTTCTACCTTCAAAGAACAGCTAGCTCTGATTAAAAGTACCCCCGGCAAGGCGAGGGGACGCCATGAGAGGTGGGGGACCCTGCAGCACCGGCTCGGCCGTAACTCTCACCTCTGTTTTACAGCCCCAACCACCGCAGCTGCAGCCTCGGGGTCCCCCCACCTCCCTGCTCCGGCCCTGGGGGATTCATATGAGGTACCGTGAGATGTTCTGGCTCAGTTTGTTTTGATTGTCCTGTTAAAGAAAAATATGGAAAAAATGTCTCGCTTGCCCATTTTCCCCCCAGCAGTTCTGCAGATCATAGAATCACAGAATGGTTCGAGTTGGAAGGGACCTTTCAAGATCATCTAGTCCAAGCCCCCTGCAGTGAGCAGGGACATCTTCATCTTGATCAGGTTGCTCTGAGCCCTGTCCAACATGACCTTGAATGTTTCCAGGGATGGGGCATCTACCACCTCTTTGGGCAACCTGTGCCCATGCTTCACCACTCAGTGTAAAAAAAATTCTTCCTTACATCTAGTCTAAAACTCCCCTCATTTAGTTTAAATCCATCACCCCTTGTCCTATCACTACAGGACCTGCTAAAAAGTCTGTCTCCATCTTTCTTATAGGCCCCCTTTAAGTATGGAAAGGCAACAGTAAGGTCACTTGGGATGCTCCAGTCCCCTTGGCCAGCCAGCACACAGGGCTCGAATCCCCTCCCAGCTGCCCCTGGGGACGTGCGCTTGCTCCCAGCAGTGACAGACAAGAGTTCTTCCAAGGACCCAGTGCAAGAATGCAGAAAAAAAACCCCCAAACTAGTCTAGTCATCAGCCTGGTGAAGATCCCATACTACTCCCTGACACCGAGCAATCAGCAGAGGATAATTTTGCACATCGGTGGTTTTATAGTCCTGGAGCAGTTGCAGGCAGCCTGGGCATGTCCCGCAGCAGAGGTGGTGTCGTGGTGTGCAGGACCTGGACTGCTGAGCGTGTGTTACAAACACCTCTGCCACCCAGCAGTGGGCTGCTCATGAGCTCTCACATGTAGGATTTCCCAGAGAGTATGAACCATTACTGTAAAGCTGCTCAGTGCTGTCCGTGGGTTCTCATCAGTGGATGGGCTCTGGGAGCCCAGCAGACCCACTCCTCCAGTGATGGTGGAGCGGGACCAGGGCTCCAGGAGCAAAGGGATTTACATGAGACAACGCAGGGAGGACGGTAAACGTGTACTGGGTGCTGGTTGGGTTTTAAGCATCTGGATGTGAAGTGCCAGGTTTGTTACCGCTTAATAACTTCATAAAAGAATAAGGAGAGTGTTCAGCTCTTATCTGTCGGAGTGAGCAGGCAAGTTTGTGTGCCTTTGAAGGCAGCGCTCGGTTATTGATCCATGAAAGGTGTAATACGTCTCCATAACACCTTTTGCATGAAATAAAGATGTTGTCAGCTGCCATTAATTGGCAGTCTATTATTAATCCTTGCCAACACCTCAGGGATTCCTGGGTTTAAATTGCCCTGGAAAAGGATCTAAGTTTGCTATGGGCAGCAGTGTGAGAGCCCTGGGAGATGGGCTGGTTCAATGCGTGGACACTTTTCCTAACCTTCCCGTGGGCTGTGCGCATGCCTTGCCCCGGTGCAGAGTCTCCTACATTGAAGGTGAAGCACAGGGAGGATGCGGTAATGGCGGGGCTCGGCGTGCAGCAAATCAGCGCCCTTAACATTTATTTAATCCTGGAGAGCAGTGGTGAGAGAGGGAAGGGACGGCTCCTAGCATACCAATGCGAGTCTTGGTGCTGCCACCATCTCCTTCCTGCCAGCTTGCCCTGCCTGTGGAGGCAGCGGGAACTGAAACAACACGTGGCCACGACACATTTCCCCACTTGGGTTTGTTGTGCTTCTCATTCCGACATACACACCACGGTTTTCCCCTTCCACCTTTTTTAAAAAACAGTTTAAAATAGAAAGGCAAGAATGACGGAGCCCCACTGGTTCCTCAAAATCCAGTAAAGGCTGAGGAGAAAGCCGTGCTGGGAAAGGGAGCCTGCATGAAGCTGCCAGAGTAGCAAGCTCGAGATAGTCAGTCATCGCAGTAACGAGCAGGTGGGGTCTCAGCAGGGACGTGCTGGTGGCTCCGCACACTCTGTGCAAGCGCTGGAGCTGGGCAGGTGCGTTTGCAGTGCTGCAGACGGTCCTGCATGTTCTTGACTTTGCTCCTTTGCTCTGACAGGCCACTTGATAACCCCGTGACTTCCTTTGGGCTGTCGGAGCAGGAGAGCATTGCCTGTCTCAAGGCGCTGGTATTTCACCAGCAGTAACACCCAAGGGGCAGATATTTTGGCAGGGGAGCGGAGGGGCGTGCAGGGAGGCTGAGGGTGCCAAGTACAGCTCTGCTGCGCTGAGCAGGGGGCTCGTCCGCACGGATTTCACACGATGGTAACTGGGCTCCACCTGTGACGGGGCATCGCCCGCTGCCGGCCCTTCCTCCGGGCTCATGTGGGAAGCGTCAGCATCCTTCAGCTCAGCGAGACACAGCCGTGGGCTGTGACATCTCTGCCTGACACCCCCCCAGCAGCAGCTGAACGCTGAGCACTTTGCCAGGGAGAGAAGCCCATAGCAACTTTCCAGGCACAGCCCCTGCATTGAAATCCCCCTCGGGTTTGCTGAGTGTACATTGAAATAGCCGGGAAACGAACCGGGATGTGATCTGTGAGTAAGTGAAACGGGAGCTGGAGGTGTTGCAGTACTTGGTGACCGCTCTTGGTAGAAGTTTCTCACCGAAATGCTGATACCTGCTTTCTGATGGACTAGTGCCTTTCCGTTGTAATTGTCCTTGTCAGTAAAGCTTTAAATTTATTCATGAAGCACGCTGGAGCTCAGGTGGCAATAGCTAAATCCATTTAGCAGTAGGAATAAGAGGAAAGCCATTTTAATGTTCTCTTGCAGTGCTGCAGTACTTAGCAAACCCAAAGGATATTAATTACTCAGCATGCTCTGAGATGTAAAAGCATGAATTTATCAAGACAAATACATTCAGAACTAGGGTAAGTCAACAGTAATTAACGCCATGAAAAAAAAAAGGCAGAGAAAGGGAGGATTAGCTGGCCCTATCGCAGGAGAACACGGCCTAGCGCCGAGTTATCCTCGGGATATTATAAAGTGACTGGAGTTGTGATGAGGCATCTGTAACAAAAAAATCAGCCTGTGCCTGTCAGGTGTGTCCCTGGGATGGGGGTTTGGTCCTGGTTTGCATTACCCAGGCAGAATGATGCAGGCAGTCTCTGAAATGCCAGGTTGTGCTTGGCAGCCGGCAGCAGCATTTTCATAGGAAGCCTTTGATGTTGGAAGGCACTTGTGAAGAAGAAGTGCATAGGGCTTTTTTGTTTTTCACCGAATTTGTCTGCACTGTCTCAGTGTTTTCATGGTGTTTAGCAAACGTATAATCGTGAGCGCAGCCACAGATGAGTGGCAGCTCGAGAGATGAATTGGTAGGCTCTCCTTGACAAATTTAAGCGTAGCATGTGTTTTTATACCGCATCCATTAGGGCAGACAAATGAAAAATCCAGAGATGACTGCTCTGCAATTTAACAGTCACAGCATTCGGAGAAGGCTGATGTCTTCCTCATCACTGGTGATGGGTCGGGTTCAGAAAAAAGCAGAAAGCCTTCTAAAAACTAAAGCAATTTGAGCAAACAAGTCTAGCCACGCTGTATTTAAAGGCAGTTTACTTTGTGTGGACCAAGTATAACCAGTGCTGATCCTTTGTCTTCAGGTCGTGGGGACGACCCAGGTGACTTCAGCCTAGAAGACGCCTTGTATGACCTCGGCCCCAAGCAACGTAAGTCACATTTATTTATTCTTTTAAAGAGGAGAAAACAAACAGATGTTAACAGATGCAATTTGTTCTTTGGGATCTGATGCTGGTGGGAGGCTGGTGGAGGACATGGGCTACCTCCTCGTCTGCCCAGAGGGATGCAGCGTCCAGGCTTGCCAAGAGGTGGGACTGGGGATAGCTCTGGAGAAGCTGGTTGCTGACCTTGTGCCCTTTGCTTTCTGATTCCCCTGAGCAAACTGCATGGGCACACCAGTGTTTTGATGTAGAAATGACACCGAACTTGTCTTTTTGGCTTCCTTCCCTGAGTTAGTAACACCTACCATCAAACATGACCCTGTTTCCTAGAAGCTAATGTGTTAACTGCTCTCCTTCCCCAGCTGGTGAGGGCCACCCCGTCAGGTCCTTTTCTCCTGCTGCAAACTGGAAGGCAAATGGCATGTTGGGTTGTTGCTTGGCTTCTCTTAATTTCAAGTGCAACCTGTCAGTTAACAGAAACTCACTTTGGAAGGAGGTGCCTTCTTCTGGCATGCTGATATTTAATATTTGGCTTTGAAATCTGTAATTTTTCTGTGAGTTGGGGCCGGGCTGTGTCGCTGAGGGGGACACAGTGCCTGGCAGAGCTCAGCCTCGGGCCTGGCAGAAACGGCAGTGAGGTCAGGGGGCTGGCAGGGGCTTTGCACCACCCTGGGGAGGGAAATTCGGCGGAGCAGCTCTCAATTTACACCCAAAAGAGACAACCTAACTGCCAGCAGCTGACAAGAGGAGGCTCGTCTCCCTCCCTGTGACGTGTCACACGCCTTCCCCATAGCCTAGGTCTGAGCCCAAGCCATATCCACCCCCGGACACGTCACCAGCTCCCCTTTGCTGCCCAGCCACCAAGACACCACAGCAGAGTTGCAAACCCAGCTCTCGGGCCCCCTCGCTGCCCATCCCTCCCCGTGCAGGTCGTGGTGACCATCCCCAGTCCCAGCGCCCAGCTGGGCGGTAGTGGGGAGCACTCTGCGAGCGGTGCTGGCCATCACACAAAATACACCCAGCTAAGTGACAGCCAGCATGGGGATTGAAACCTCTGACTTTATAGTCTGACGACACACAGGCACTTGTGCTGTGTTACATCGGAGTTCATGTGGATTAAAGTCAGGACGCTCCGTCCATCTCTCCCGCGGTGTGCCGGGGGATAGGATAGACCAGAGTATATCAGATTTGGTCACAAGTCTGACGGAGCTCATCTAGGATTTTGCAAGCCCTTTAATACAGTATGTGGGGAGACCTGGTTAGAAATGCCAGATGCCACCTTATGCAGAGGGACAGCAGCCTTTCCCCAGACGGGAGTCCCAGCTACTGCATCCCACCCTGGACTCCATCACACCAGCCCCGGAATAGAAGCAAAAGAAGGTTGTGGAGTCAGGTCACATCAAACCATACCAGCACACTGGAAATGAAGCCCAGCACTCCAGTATTCAAAGGCACAAATGGAAATTAATGGGAATAGAGCAGCCGCAACTCTTGCTCATAATTTATTCATATCCTTGGTAATGCTAGCCACTATTAATAGATAGTGGTTTACAGGGGGTGAAAAAAATAAATGATCCACCCCCTCAAAGGCTGAGTGTAGCTTGTTTTAGCCCAGGAGCAGCCAGGGGAGCTGCTGCACCGGGGTGGCACCAAAATTCCTCCAGCTGATGTAGAAGCTCTGGTACATAACACAGCGATGGAAATGACCTGTCACTGAACTGACCGACCGGGCAGGGGACAACAAAGCATGGGCAGCTTGTTCTTGTTTTCCACACTGTTCTGTACAGTGTCTGTTCACTGCTGTCTCCAGGAGCTGTAACTTGGAGAGGTTTATCCCAGGTCTCTGCTTCCCGCCCGGCAGGATGCTGCCCTGCACGGGACGGCGTTCAGCCCCAGCCGCCGCTGTGCCCTGCAGAGCTCTGGGCCCGATCCTGCACGGGGCTGTGGCCGCTCGCCCTGGCACGAGGGCAGTCCTGCTCCCCGAGGCCATGCACCATCTGCATGGGGCTTTCATGGCTCTGAGTTCCCGGTTTACAAATACAAACCAACGATGACCAGCTGGAAAGCTCGTGGTGGAATCTTTGCTATTTTTTTTCAAACCAGAAGCAACACATTTTTGGTGATGGCCACGACTAACATTTTCCTCCCTGTCTCTTTTGTCACAGCCACTCCCAAGGGACCCCGAAAGCCGGCAGGTGGGTCAGGTAAGACCTTCTTGTGTGCCTATCATTTAAGCACAGCACTGGATTTGCTTCTGCTGTGGGCTGGGCATGTGGGGCTGGGTGCTGCTGCCTTAACAGAGACTTTGGGACACCCTCACTCGCCTGTAAGGAACCTGGTGCTGGTGTGCACACATGCACTCCTCCTGTGCCACCAAAGTAAAGGCAATATTGATATTTCTGTCCGTGCTGAAGGCGAGCGGCAGCGGAGCATTTACAGCCAAGGCTGAATTTCGCACACTTTGCAGTATCCTAATGGAAAAGATACAAATCACTGCTCAACTACGCAAGGGCTTTTGTTTCTGGCTGCATGGCATCTGCTAGCTTTCCTTCCAGGAGGGACCCCAGAGGATATTTTCCCTCCTTTTTTTTTTTTTTTTGCCAAGATATCCACAGAGAGGCCCCAGCCTGGTGACATTTCTGTGATTTCCCCATCCAAGGAAAAAATATCTCTCTGACTGTTTGTGCCTGTCAGATGTCCTGGTTGGCCAGCTCTGCAACATCTGCCCCAGCTGAGGAAGCTCCTTTAAATTCACTTGAGTTTCATCAGCAGCAGTTCCCCTCGCTCACTTCTGGCCAAACACACCTACTTAAATATAGTGCAGTCACAGGAGCCGAGGGTTGCTCAACCCTGCCAGAGGAGCCTGAAATAAACTGCAGCTGGGAGACGCTCGGAAGTGAACCCGCTCACCCCTGCATGAGGGTCTTGGCACAAATTAAAGCAAATCTGACTGTCCAGCTCCTTGGTGGCCACGGTCTTTGCTAGGGACAAGAAAAGCCAAGTGCCAGAAGCACACACAAGGCTTCATCATTTGGATTGCAGCCCAAACGAGAGGCTGTGTGATCCACTAAACTCTCCCCGGGAAATGGATGCATACCGAGGCTGAGGCTTCATCTTGGCTAGTTTCTTCTTCCCTGGGGAGTGTTCTTTGGATGAGTGATGGCACTGAGGGGCTCCCGTGGTGTGTTACTGTTCCCTGGCCCCATCATCTCCTGTGCATGCTTTGCTCAGACCGGAGGTGCTCGCGGGTGGCTGTGCAGGGAGCAGAGCGGGTCCCAGCCGCTGGCTTGATCCCTGCAGCACCTTCTCACCTGCAGCCTCTGTTCTCAGGTGATGCTACAGGAGACCGGCAGGTCTCCTCCCAGAACACATTATTTTGGGGTTGCTTGGGCTGGGGGTGGGCAGCAGCCACAGCTCGGATGAGGAGAGTTAAACAGCGGCCAGGCTGGTGTGAAGGCTCTGCCGTACGGTTGTGATTGAGCAGTGGAGCGGTTGGACGCTCTTTTCAGTGCAATGGTGCAACGTTTCTTGCGCATCACCTGCAGAGCTGCCGTGCAGGGGATGTGTGCTGAAAGCCCCACACCATCCCCAGAAACGATGGGGGTGGTAATGATCCCTTCTCTCCTGCAGCAGGCTTTGATTTGGCTGATTACTTTGATGCCCCTCTGGACACTACCACCAAACCAGCCAAGCCAACTCCGAAGCCCTTCCCCAGGCCAGGGAAGCCAGGTACTGTGGAGCTCTGGGGAGGGTACAGGCATGCTCACCTTGGGGCTCTGGACAGGGGAGAATGCTCCCTGAGGTAGGGAGAGATCAGGCATTGACAGATGAGCTCCAGCAAGTTTTAGTGACCACCAACAGGTGACTTTAAAAGGTGACCACCTCCTCCTGCTGCACTGTCATATCAGAGCCAGCGGAGAGATGCTCCAGGCCCTCCCTGACGTTCCAGGAGGGTTGGCACCAGCATTCAGCCATCCTCCCCCCCTTGCTGCCCACACACCCCTCCTGGGGCCGCATTGGGGGGTCTTCACTGAGATTTGTAGAAGGTTTTAACCAGAACGGAGCCGTTTGCTGCTTTTAGGTGGGAGATTTCATTGCTGAAGCAGCACATCCTTAAGTACTGTTTCGGCGGTGCCTGGTCCTACTCCTGGGTGGAGGGGGTGGCGGGGGGCTGCCCTCAGGGTGGCAGAGCTCCCATGCTGGTGTGCATCCCACCGGCAGCGTGGGTGAGGGGGGGATATTCCTGGTGGCTCCATGTGTCCCCTTCTTAAATTCAAGCCCCACTGACATGTGCCCCAGCACAACGGATCCCCATGAAGGCACCCACCACCCACACACTGAGGGCCTGAGCATCCTCAGGGCACCCACAGGTGGAGGGTGCCCCCAGTGTCAGGGCAGCTGAGGCTGTGGGGAGACCAGAGCACCCAACTGCACC